TCAGTGTGCGCGTGTGTGTGTGTGTGTGTGTGTGTGTGTGTGTGTGTGTGTGTGTGTGTACATGTGCCTGTGGGAGCTCTGCCGTAACAAAGCACGGCAGACCCAAACAAAGCACGGCAGACCCAGCAGCTTACATGACACTCATTCTCTTCTGGCTCTGGAGACTGGAAGTCCCAGTCAGGGGGTAGGCTGGGTGGCTCCCTCTGACCTCTCTCCCTGGCTTGCACACACCTGCCTCCTTCTGACCCGATAGGCTCCTGCCTCTGTGCTTTAAACCTGTCTCCTAGTCTCTTCTTCTTGGACTGGGACCCAGCCTAATGATTTCATTTCACCTTAATCACCTCTCTGCAGGCCTCATCTGAAAATGCAGTCTCATCTGAGGTACTCAGACTAGGAACTCTGTGTAAGAATTTTGGAGACACAGTGTAGTCCACAACAGTTCATGAAAGCCATCCAGATTGCCTAGAGTGTAGGAATGCTAGGGGAGAGATCCACAGGGTGGCTACTGCAGTTGGGAGATGCTGGAGACTCCAACCTGCGGTTGCTGGAGAAGCCAAGAAGAAGGCTGATCCAAAAGAATCCACAGGGCATCAATATGACCATATTGTCATATTGATTGTCACATCAATATGATTGTGCCAGCAGTCCATAGCACACCTTTTTGTGATGGGTGATGGGTGATGGGTAATGTGTGCGTGCTAGGGTTTGAACCCAGGGCTTGGTGCATGCTAGGTAAGCACTCTATCAATGAGCTACAACCCCAGCTTTTTTATTTTTTGAGACAGGGACTCACTAAGTTACCCAGACTGGCCTTGATCTCGTAATCCCCCTGCCTCAGTCTCCTGAGTACCTGACACTAGAGGCATGAAACACCTTGCTCTGCACCTTTCTTTGAAAGCACTCCCATAAGACATTTTACACTTTTTTTTAGAAGAGAGAAGGAGAGAGAGAGAGAGAGAATTTTTAAATATTTATTTTTTCAGTTTTCAGTGGACACATCTTTATTTTATTTTTATGTGGTGCTGAGGAACGAACCCAGCGCCCCGTGCATGCCAGGCGAGCGCGTTACCACTTGAGCCACATCTCCAGTCCTACACTTTTATATGTTGGAATAAGGTCATAATAAATCTGTAATGTCAAAAATGTGCCTAGAGCTGGGCTGGAAGGGCTGCCTCTTCCACCCTCACAGCTATTCAGTTTCCCTTACCATACTCAAGAAAACAGAGCCAGGGCACAGAGATGAGCAGGAAGAAGAAGAATGGGATGGAAAGAGGGGACAAGTTGCTCCAGGGGTGCAGAAAGGAGAGAGGTCCTTTGTAGTCACACAGCTAACACCCGTCTCTCTTGCAGGCAATTCGCCAAGATTGAGGCTGCCACCCAGAGCCTGGCCCTATCCATCCTGTCCCAGGAGGCAACCCCCCAGAGAAAGCCAGCCAGAAGGCCACCCTTGCCGCCTCCATCTCCCTTCCTGGGGGTGGCTTGTGCTATGGTCCCCAGGGAGGCACCCCATACCAGCGCCACCCTGAGCCTTGCTGCCCTAGAGGCCTCCACCCTTGACCTCTTCGATGACATCGCACTCACCCCAGACTGTTCTTCAGTGCCATGTGATCTGTCCTCACAGCCTCCGACTGCTGATACTCCCCAGCTGGCGTGGGATCTGTCCTGTCATGCTCCGGGCCAGGGAGACCTGAGGCAGCAGGACATGATGCTGGCACCACATTGCTCAGATTCTCTGCCTCTTACACAGCATGCCCAACGGGGAGAGTCTGAGACTGGGCATCTGGACTGGAGCTGGGTGGACAGGTGGGAAGTGCCTAGTACCTGGCATTCTCAGGGGATCCGCCAAGACTGGGGGACCCCATGATTATCAACTGCAATGCAGCCCAGGGCCCAGGACAAAGCAGAGACCTCACCCAGAAGTCCCCTGACCTGTCCTCCACTCCTTTCCTGACAGACCCTGAGAAAAGAAGCCAAGCCCAGACTGCTGCCTCGCGCCAGTCTCAGGGGCCTCGCCAGGCCCAGGGCCCCACCTCTGCCCCTTGGGGGCTCACTCTGGGTTGCCTTCTCCCCTCTTTCTTCCCAGCCCCATCTTGGCATCTGTTGCTCCCTCTCACCTGGCTCATCTCTGCCTAATGTCTAGGCTCCTCGCAATTATTCCCAAGATCTACTGAGCGCCTACCGTGGGCCAGGCCAGATGGAGGTGTGGAGGTGCAGCAGAGGATACCCTGCCCTCCGGGCGCTCTCATTTGTGTTTGTGTGTGTGCAGGAGCCAACAATAAACGAGTACCCACACGGGTCTTCAAACACCAAGGTAAACCTCCAATTTCGGAGGGGAATTTCGAGCAGTGCATTCTTGCAAGGAGACGATCAGGGCAGCTCTGGGGCCTGGGGACAGGAAGGGCACACGCAAAGGCCCCAAGCCCTGAGGCGGACACCTGGCGGCGCGGTGCGGCGGGAAGGTGCGACCTGAGCGGCACCGAGGTCGGCCAAGGCCCACCATTAACAGGGAGGAATGCAGGCTTAGTTCCAGGACACCTGGAAGTTCTGCCCTCTCACCACCCTGCTTGCCAAGTGCAACCACTCAAGGAGGAGGGGACCAACAGGTGGCCAACAGGGGTCACGCTTAGTCTCGGTCTTCCCTGCAAGGTCACCCGCGCGAGCCCCAGGCCTTCCGCGGCGCCCCGCCCCGCTCTCCGACACGCCCCCAC